TACAAGCGCCTGCGATTGACACCACTAGAGACAAGCTGGTTGGAGAGCAAACTGCTTCATCCGGACTGGACCGGGCAGCCGGGAAGAAAGCAGGCAGGCAAGATCTGGGAAGCTGTCTGGGGGTTTCTCTACGGACCTCAACCCCCATCGTTTTTTTCTTCTTTTTCTCTTTTCTTTTGGTTCTTTTGTTTTGCTTTGCTTTGGTTTTTTGGTTGTTTTAAATTCCTTACGGTGTTGGAACTAGTGAGTGGTGGAGTCTTGGAAGCCTCATCAGTCACCCAGACTGCCGGGAACAGTGGATTAAGAGGAAGAAGCTCGCCTGGGGCATCATATACCCTGTTATTCAGTTTCCTGCCTCGGAGATAAAGATCCCAGCTACATGGGCAAACGCCTGGATCAGCCACAAATGTACCCCCAGTACACGTACTACTGTCCTCAGTACCTCCAAACCAAGGTATGGCTGGACCCGCGAGCTTCGAAAGGCAGCGTGGTGTCTGGCGTTCCTCAGGGGCTTGGCAAGTGGACCCTTCCCTCACCCTCGCCCCCATCCCCTCCGCCGCTGCCGCCGACCTCTTTCAAATTACTAACAGTAGGAATGGAGTTAACAAGGCAGAGGAAGAAGGGAGAGGGAGCCGGAGTGTAGCTTTCTCTTTAAAGACAGGGTACTTTCAATGGAGTGTTCTTTTGTTATTTAGCAGCAGAAATGCTAGTGAGATGGTTAAAGTCTTTTGCAGGTGAGCAGGGATTTTTAGAAAGGAGGTCCCAGCAGACGTTCTCAGGGACAAGAATACGATTTCAGGAGCTTTTCTAGTAAGCTGTTCTTTGTGTGTGAATCTCAAAGATTTAGGTGCCCCCACTCCCCCCCTTCCTTACAGAAAACACTCCAGGGTGGGGACCACTTAAACTTTTCATGGCCTAGTGCAGCATGAAGGAAGGGCGTGGGGAAGTCCCTCGGAGTTTGTGGAGTCTGTTTTTTGCTTTGGCTGTCTTTATTTTATATGAAGGATGACTGAGATGCTATGGGCTGAAAGATCTAGACGCATAGGATCTATACTTTTAGACCGACCCCCACCCCCACCCCACTCCCACCCCCTTAGCTGCCATCGGGAAGTCTGAGTCTTGAAAAAGGCACAGAATGTAACTGATAATAATTGGACTTGCACTGGTTAAAGACTTTGGGCTTTGTGTGAGCATGTGCTTAAGTGATCTTTAGGGACCCAGAGGCAAGCCCACAAAACTGAGCAGAGGGCAGTGCCAATGTTGAACTTTTATCCTTCAGTGAAGACATGAAAGACTGTTAGGTGAGAAATCAGTTCTCCAATTTGTCGATTTGATTGGACTTGGTTTGAGAAGGGGGGTACAATGTTTGTGCAGTAGTCACCCCAAGTACATGTATAGTCCGATTTTGTATTGCATTAACCAGCTCCCACCATCTTCTTAGTAACTACACATGCAAGAGTGAGCCAGGCACGCCTGAGTGGCATGTGCTGTCACCGCGTTTGCTGGCACAATCAGGGTTTGGTAACTCACGCCATGGTAATCTCCCATTTATTCCGTCTCCTCAGACAATGCCCATTTGAGAACCGAACTGGACAACAGCCTCTCAGGATTGCATTTTAAAGGCTGGTGTTTCTTTTTCCATTTTTTTTCTTCTTTTTCGATTGCTCTATGCTCTGCCCTGTTCCTCCAAGGTCGACTCACGTTGCTTTTTGCCTTTGTGCCCACTTAGTTTGGGCTGCCTCTGCTTAAATAGACCAGCCCTCCTGCCTGGTGCCCTGAGTATTAACTCCTTGGGCAACTGGGTAGAGAATGCTGCCTGCTACTTTCCTTAAAGAAATGGTCGGGCAAGTTTGAAAAAGAAAAAGAATATTTACAGTCATTTTTCTCCCCCAAAGAAACAAAAACAGTAAGCTCAGGGTTGTCTGAAGAATATCAAACATTCCAAACCTTTTACTCATTTGGCTAAATTTTTCCAAATGTTTCCCAAATCGTGCTTTGTGCTGGTTCTGGTTTTCCAGTGCTGTGTGCAACCACAAGAGAAAGTTTGGACTGAAGTGAGTGAGATAGTCGGAGTTTTTGTTTTGTTTTGTTTTTCTCCTATATTGCTTTTAACCTATTACTAGCAGGGAGTAACAAATGCTGTGTAGAGTTAAAGATACAGGGTGCTGAGTAAGCCACCCTAGGAGATGGAGGGAGGGGGAGACGGAGGGGGTGAAGAAAGAGTACAGCTGTGAAGGGAAGAATGGAGCCTGAAGAAAAGAGGTTTCTCAAGTCTGTTTGGGGTCCTGTGCGGCTTTGGTGCCCCGTGGACCCTGGCAGGGTCTCTGGGTCTTGTTACTTTCCAGCCAAAGACATCAGCATCAGGAACATTTTTAAGAAGTTAGCTCCATTAGACATCCCAAACTGATCAGGGCCGGGAGGGATATAAGGTCAGCTACTTGGGCTATCGCGGTACTCATATTGATTGTTATGTTGTAGAATTTCAGCTTGGCAGTGTAGTTGTTATGTATTGTTCTGGTGACAGACGTTTGTGACATCCCAGGAAGCTGGAGATGTGAAACCTTGAGTTCAGGGAAGTGTCGATGTGCAGTTCTGGTTGAGCACATGAAGACTTTCTGACAGAGTTAATCCAATCTGAGGAAGCATTGTCAGGAGTGTGGGGGGCAGTAGAGCACAGTTTCTGCCTGACCTTTGCCCTTTTCACACATACCTAGCAGAACGGAATTCATAATCAGTTAGAGGGAAGGGCATTATGTTTATATTTATTTGATGAGCCCAGATGGACTCCATGGAAATCCACTTTCCCAGCATTGCTGTCCAGTTGCAACTCAAGTTTCTCATCACAGCTAGCGGAAACAGTGTTCACATATAAAGAATACTTATGTGGGATGGAAGTAGAATCCTATGGTTGATCAAAATCACATCCCAGAGGTAGCAGACTTTAAAGGGTTGCCTAAAATCAGATGTCTTTCTTTCCTAATATACAAAAGTGTGTGTATGTATAGTGGGCGTGAGGGTGGAGTGGATCCTCATGGGGATTTTTAAAGAACCAAAAACAATGTTTAATATAATTTTCAGAAAATAGAAAACAAACAAAAACAACCCAAGCTCTTGCTTTGTACTTAAATAGTGAAATGCTCGACACAACTTCTAATCTCTCATGAGAAAACAACATGAAATTAATGTTCTAAAAATCAAGGCACAAGTCTTCCATTTCCTCAAATGTGTATTGTAGTTCAGGAAGATGGTGACGTTTCCAACTTTCTTTCTTCTCATTATGTAAGAACCTAACTTTCTACTTAGTTTAGTAAAACAAAATATAGAAATAGGCTATTTCTGTGTCTCATCTTGTGGAATAATTTTCTAGAGGCTTAAATGCTTTATAGGAGACAAAACGTCCATCTAGCCCAAATAATATATTAACTATTAAAAAGCATTAAGAGCTCATCACAGCATGTATTTAAGTGACATGAATGCTTGGCACGTGGCTGTAGCTATGATTTGTAGCAGTGCTGTGCCGTGCTTACATCTTTAAGTGCTCTGTCTCTATTTTGGATTGAGATTTTTTTTTTTCCTTGCTAGAGAAGACAGTCTCAAGGAGGGGCATTGCTTTTGGTCAAGGCATAATGAAAAAAACTCAATGGCATGTTATAGTATTTAAACAAGTGATATGGCTTTATTTTTAAAAGTTTCTCAAAGTAAACTGCTACTTGGAAGGGTATAAAGACTAATCCACAACTCTAGAAAAAAGAAATCTGAAAATTGTACATTATCTTACTGGCAAAATACAAAACGTCATTTGACTCTTGCAACCCCGCATCTTTCAGCAAATCCACTGGTTGGTGTTGGGTTCTGAGACTCCAGGTATATTTTGTTGTGAATTTGAGGCACTTTAGGTAGGAGTGTTTCTTGAGAAACAACAATAACACATCAAACAGGCAACAAACTAGTAGAAAGAAGAAAGCCAAGGAAGGGTGATCTGCTTGCTCACTGCCTGGTGAGTTGCTATTCCTGGATACTGTGGTTGAGAAGTGGATATTTCTCTCTTATATGATATTTGGAAAACTTTAGTCATGTTCCTTAAACTTCAGAAAGAGCCCCCAGCAGGTGTCTCCATCCTTGCTTTCAGGTAACCTCCCTGGCTCACAGGCTTCCTCTACTAGCCCAGTAACCAGAACAGTGCTCCCTCTCTGGCCATTTGGTTTCCCCTGAAAATCTTGATGAGGGGTTCAAACTAATAGACCCTTCCTGGGTTCCTTTGGTGAGTGGCATTCAGATGATGTTCTGAGCCTTACCTGAAGCAGGGTCGGGCATGAGTCTCCCCCACTGTGCACTGGCTTCCACTGGAACTACCTCCATTTGCGGTCTGGCTGCTGTCTCCTCCTGAGAGTCTAGCTGGGGTGCTATTGATCACAGAAAGAGCACATACTTGAAAACACAAGGGGTGAGGAGTGGGCAAAGAAAAGGGAACTTCTAGAGGACAAAGTATTTTTAAAACTGTGGACGTCTAGATCCTTCAAGAGCAAAGTCACCCCTCCTGTAGCTGTCAGGCAGCCTCAGGACTGCAGTTCTGCAGGAGGGAGGGAGGCTGGGATTTCTTAGGACTTCCTGCCTGGGCTTTGCACTGATAGCTGGTCTTGGTAACCAGCCAGTTGTTTGAAAACAGTCCTGAAAACTCTCAAGTTCTGTTTTCCTTTGAAAACTTGAAATGTTCAAAACTGTTTTTTCTTAAACAAAAACAACAAAAACAAAAAAAATTGCAGGCATGGACAATTTAGATATAATTCCAAATATTTTCCTTTCCTTGCGGGAGGGGTGCATGTAGGATAGCATTAGAATATGATAAATCTTGTTTGCCTTATTTTCAAGAGTACAGAATTTTAATTTGCTTTAAATAAGAGGGGGAAAACCTAGCTATAAGAAATTATTCTCTGCTTCCTGTTCTTCCTTCCTGCAGGTCTTCAGGCTCAGTGGACGTGGGTGTAGCCTGGTGTAGGTTT